ACTTCACTTGGGTTACTGTAAACTGTGGATCCCAAAATTATTTACTGGTGGGATGCATATACAGACCACCTCATGCGGATACTAAGTTTGAAAGATTACTAACAAACATCTTTTCCATTGCTTCGCACCAACCGCATACTTTTAAAATCATCGGAGGTGATTTTAATCTGCCAAAAATTACATGAGGCTTGACTCCGGTACCAGGTCGATATAACAGGCTAGTTGAAACATTAGAAATTTGTGGATGGGTTCAACAGGTCCGAAAACCGATCAGGGGGAGTAATACACTTGATTTAATGTTCACAATCAACATAGAATCTATCTCAGTGCATACCAGTCATGAGTTTTTTATGAGTGACCATAGAGTTGTATTGCGTATTATTCACTCTTTAAACGCCATACAATTGAACTCTAAAGCTTCATCGATGTACCAAAGCAGACATTTTGATCAACAAACATGGAAACGGACTGTAACTTTCATTCAATGTTTACCATGGGAAACTTGTTTTACCACAAACAATGTTGACATTGCGCTTTCCAATCTACATCACAACCTGATATATTGTCTTGACTGCACTGCTCCAGTTATTGGCCGTGTGGCTTATAATGCTAATAGGGGCCAAAATACTTTTAAAAGAAAGCTGAGGAAATTAAAATGCCGCTACTACGAGCAGAATGATGTGTATGCACTTCAGAATATACTTAAATTAATCAACAGAAATGCTTCATCTAAACGTAAGTATTTTATGAATATAGAAAATAAAACTCTTTGTAGTAAAAGCCCAGAATTATCAATACTTCGACTTTTTAAATCCCGTGTAAAGTCTAATTCCCTTGGCACGACTAAATTCTTAATAGTTTACGGAAGCATTGTTAACGACCCGAATACTATATGCGAACAATTCAACAAGCACTTCTCGCAGTGCTACAAAAGTAAAACTGAAAACTACATCATCTGTCGGAAATTGATTTTACACACTCTAACATCAAGTAGGCCATAGCTGCCCTGAAAAAGTTTTATGATGGTGGACCTGACGGGATACCTTCATCATTTGTGAAATATGGAAGTAGAGAATTTCCACTATTTTGTTTGAAACTTTTCAATCTATCTATGGAATATGGGACCTATCCATCTGTATGGAAAACATCCCTTATGACCCCTAGATTCAAAACAGGACCACGTAGTGATATTATTAACTATAGGCCAATTAATTTGACATCCGTGCTCTCAAGAACCATGGAAAAAATCATCCACAAACAGCTACTATCATTTTTACTTTCGGCTAGTCTGATCAGCCCATCCCAACACGGGTTTATGACTAAACGCTCATGTTTCACATCGCACCTGAAGTTTTTTGATCAAATTACCCAGAGAAGAGGTGTTGGTCAGTCAGTGATAGTTCTTTACTTCGATTTTAGTAAGGCTTTCGACAGTGTCTCACACAAACTTCTTCTTTTAAAACTCTCTTCATTTGGCACACAGAATCCCCTTTTATCTTGGCTCAAATCTTTTTTTAGAAGAACATAGCCAAATCGTTCGCTTTCGATCTTGCTACTCTAAACCTGTGAATTTAACCAGTTGGGTTATACAAGGAAGTGTGGTTGGTCCATTACTCTTTCTCCTTTTTATCAATGACGCGTGTTTATTCTTTCAGTATGGTAAACCTTTCCTTTTTTGCTGATGACCTGAAAGTAGTTTATTCATTCTCTTCTCCCACGAAAGAAAGCTATATTTCAGCGGTAATCCAAGAGGAAATAAACAAGTTATACGAATGGACTGTTGACAAAAGTGGATTTATTCACATTGGTCGCTGCCTTAACTTAAATCTGACAGTACATACACATACACTCAAACTTCTCAACACTGTTCGTGACCTGGGTTTAAGTTATAGCAACAGTCTGAACTTTTCTGAGCACATTGTATCTCAAGTATCCAAAGCTAGAAAGCTGATTGGATTGATAATGATAAACTTTAATAATATCGAATCGAGATTGTTACTATACAGAAAATGTATCTTACCCATTCTTGAATATGGTATTTTAGTTTACAGTAATTGTAGACATAATGACCTGATTAGAATTGAAGGTGTTCAAAGAAAGTTCACCAAAGCTGTTCTGGGGTATTCCGATAACAAAGACTATTACCAAAGATGTCAACAACTCAACTTAGAACTTCTTTGGATCAGACGTATCAAATTAAATCTTGTCTTTATTTACTGGCTTATTAACGGTATTTCCTACTCTTCGGTATCCACCCCTTCATACCTTATGATATCATCCCACAATCTACGCAATAAGGAGAATATTCTAGCGATTCCAAGGACCCACACAAACTTACTTCTGAATTTTTTCCTTATTCGCTACTCCACCATGTGGAACAGACTGTCAGTGAACTTCCGTTGCAGTGAAACTACAACCCGGTTCAAAAGTCTCCTTGACGATTTTCTTTCCGAAAGTGGATTATGTCACCTATTGAATATCAATGTATTCAATAATGATTTATACAAACAAGGTCCGTCATCCATTTGATTTAAAAGCAAAATAAAAACTTTAAATCTTTCCACGTCTATTTTATTTTATTTCTATTTATCTTAATATATGAGATCTGATTATGTTTGTGTTTATCATTATTACCGTTAATAATATCATTATTAGTTCCCCGACACATTAGATATTCTTTTTGTATCTTCTTATCCTTCTAAACATATTTAACTCCAGATTGTCCTTTGAAATCAATTTTGACTTTCATAGCATCATTCTTAATTATTATTGCACAAATATTTATACTAATATCCGGTTTCACTCTGTATACTATTACATAAATCTAAATGTATTCATCCGAGTGCTTCAGAGGATTTTTATTTTATTTTTTCAATTTCTGGTTTCCTTCTGAGGTTGATATTCATTACGCAATTATTATTCTTATCATGGATGAACGTTTTCACTAGGTATTCACTTCTCTTGTCTCTCTTTTTCCCTTCTATATATATATTATTCTTAAGATTACGAAGTTTGTAATTAAGACAATAACTTGTGTTATACTTACATTAACTTCTCAGACCTGTTTTATATTCACTATGCATATATGTCTCATACATATTGATATTTTATTATCCTTTTCACTCAATTGAGACTTTCATCGCATCACTCCAATCTATAACTGCACAAACATTTATTCTAGCGTCATATCTTACTGCAATTGTAAGTTATTTTTTCTTAATTTTGTTACTAATTTAACAATACACACATAGTCGTTTATTCTTGCTCTGTGTTCATAAACACGCCTATTAGACTGTTTGCGTATTTCACGTCTCCTTATTTTCTCCATTTCCTTCTTTAAACTCAATTCAATATTCTCAATTGCACAGACCCGATTTATTATTATTAATATTCTACTATTATTGCTCTAATTTTTTTTAAAATGACAAGTATAATGCTGACATTATTGAAAATGGTGTATTATTGCATTTTTTGAAGAAACCCGAAATGGTTTCTTTACAACACTTATGTACCCATAAGATGTTTGTGAATAATAATAATAATAATTATTATTATTATGAACTTACGACAGCATGTATGTTCTACTGATGACATAACGAGACATCTATTACCTGATGCCCATTCCGATGCAAGTCTGGATATGTACGAGTCTTTGTTTTCTGGGTGGTTCTGTTCGCAAGAAGCCTTTCATTGAAAATACCTTATAAGTTGTCCATAGTACTAATTTGCTTCGGTCATATATGTCAAACTAGATGTATCCACCAAGTGAATTTGGATGACATCCTCATGATTAACTTTAACTCTTCACAGCTGCTTGAAGCATATTGCTGCAACTCATAAAATACAGACATCGAACAATAAAACTGGCCTACATATTGCTTCAATACATTTATTTTGAAAATATTAAAACTAACTTCTTCCGGCAGTATTTGAATTAGTAATAACTACCCCATTGCTAGACGGATTGCACCACAGAAAAAGTCCTCATTATAATATGAAGTTTGAAATAAGTGCACGAGGTTGTTTATGGCGAGGTTCACTGATAATATTTATGACACCAGTGCATCACTGTTGTTTCAATATCCCGATTGCTTCCACTGGCGAATGACTGGTGTTCTACCCTACTAGTTGGTTTTATTCATTCAGAGTGGAAGCAAACTATGTATGTAGTCGGCTCCTGATTTTTGTTAACTTGGGGTTTGCGAATAGTTACCAGATTGAGAACCTACTAATAACATTTCTAATCCCCAAAAACAGCTAAAAGAAGAGGAACTCAACATCACCTAGTGAAAAGGTCTGTGTAACTTAGGACGGACATGTCACATGTATGTATATATGCCCTGTTTCAAAGAACTAACAGAGTATCTTCTCTGGGATAATCAATTAGAGAAGCTCCGAGCAGTGGATTTTATCGAATGATTGAGTTCGTAATTAAATAGATAGGTGAAGCTTATTAACATTAGTAACAACGTTGTATCGTTGTTAAAGGAAAATCAGAATGACCTACCAAACTACTAAAACACTCTATGCACAAACTTCTGAATCCAGGGTCCTAAATTGACCATATGTAAACACTGCTTGCTAAAAAATAAAATCCCTCGAGCTCGCACGACACAGTAAAGATTACTCTGTAGAACATCAGTCGCTCACAACGACACTTACGAAATTAAAACTCTTTATACTCTTATTTCCGAAATTAATAGAACTAGACTGAATCGTGGACCATCTACCACCAGATAAGCATATATTTACTGATCAGTTCAACCTAGGCACATAAAACAATCACAATTAACGTAACAGCATAAACAGAGTCCGGCAGTAAAACCGAGTATTTAGAGAACGATCATTTACAATAAGTTGATCATCAGGCTCAACAGATATAAGTTTATGGTAAATGTATTTGCTTGTGGTTGAATTAAGTATTGTAGGATGAAAACCTTTAACAGGATAAACACATTAAAACAAGCCAATCGTAGGCTAGAAAAGTTGCCTAAAGGGTAGGAAATTATAATCAAGCTGGGAAAAAGTGAATTATATGGACAGTAAACCATACGAGAAGTGTTATGTTGTGGTGATCAACATAACAACGAAGTCACATTAATACAACACGTTACAAGAATGTTATAAAAGGAATTATTATGATTATAAGAACATGTGAATGAAGAAAGATGAGTATGCGACTCAGAATAGAACAAGGTAGAGATACATAAAGGGGTTCACAGTGAAAGTCCATAACAAAACGCCATATGGGGTGACCGGACTATGAACGAAAATGGATAGAGAAACTGAATGTGACTCTTCCAGGTGCATAGATCTTTCTTCTTGAAGGCTACGGTCGTGTAGACAAGGATCTGCCACGCCTCTACTGGCCGACTGTCCACAACTTACTGTAAGAATATAGGCTTTTATAAAGCAACCTTAAGTGTTTACAGATACTGTATCTTGAACCTATTCAACCAATATAAAAATGTCCCCTACCACACCATCTGACATATAGCTCAATCGTAGCACCCTCGACTTATAAATGTACTCTAGTAATGAGGTTGTTAAAGTCCTGTGAAGAAGTCTTCGTTTTCGAATATTCCATAGAGGTTTTAAATTTACTTAAGTTTAGTGAAAAACTAGTAGCAATAAAAGCAGTAAGTATGGGATGAATATAAAACTATTTACTTGGCTACATGTTCAAATGCAAATGTAACGACTCAAAAGCAAGTTCGGGCCTTGATGAATAAGACAAACATGCACCAATTTGTTGAGTATCTCCCTTTCAACGTTCACTCTGTGTCCAATATCTAACCCTTTCCATTTACTTGGTGAGTGAAAGCTGCACTTCATGCCATAATCTTTAATGAGGATTCCACTTAAAGCTCTATCACTTTGTTTGCTTTCCTCATCTGGTAAGTTGGGATGTGCTGCAGCAGCGTATTTATAGAAGACATACGTAGTTTTAGATTTTTGAAATGGAATTCTCGGTAGGAAATAATGCTTTAATGTGTGTCACGCCTACTAAATAAGAAAAATGTTAGACATTGTACTTTAACTGAATATTAGGAAGGGATGATTATCCTTGTCCGTGTTCAAGTTTTATTTGTAGTTACTCATCAGAAACAGATCACATCATCTTAAATATACGTATGTAAAATTTAAAAAATGGATGATTATCTATGTACATAATATTTACAGTTTCCAATGATAATTTCACTAAACATGCAGGAATCTAGAAACGCGTCATTATTTTACAGATGGGAGATCTACAGAATTTGAGTTGAGAATATCAATTGTATCCTTTATACAGGTTCATCTATTTCCTAGGAAACAAATAAGATGATACTTGAGAAGTATAAAACAAAAGAAAAAACGAAGTAATATAAAACTTGAAAGACATTACTTATATACATTGTTGTAAACTTACAACGTAGGGATAAAATAACTGTTTGGTTATTTAACTGAAGTTCGAACCCAAGATTACTTTTCAGGAAGGGGTAATTAAAAATCTGAAATCCAGGAGGGTACACTGAAAACTCAGTATACATGACGAAATATACATCCACTTACTAAAAATGGGTAACGGTATAATTAGGTTCACCACTTATATTTACATCTTTGTCCGTCCATAAATTACTGTTAATTATTCATGACTCATCACTTGTAGTGTTCTAGTTTAGTACACACCGTGGTTTATTAACGACAGCGTGTCATAATTTATATACATGATCATGTGTTTTGAAATCTGGATAATAGAAATTATTGTGCAGTTCCTGTCTGAACACCCTGAAGTCAGAAATACGCCATAACAATTAGAGTGCGATTACACAAAAATATCATTTCTTGCATTTTGGGTGACTACCAATGGACTATTTATATAACTCACCACCGAGAAACCAAACAAGTAAGAGATAATTCTATTAACTAAGTGACTGACCATATTTTCTAGCAGCTTCTAATAACCCCAGATAAAATCTAAACGGCAAATTAAACACACAAGCAAAGGAGCGAAATGCAAAAGAAAGTTTTCCTCGGTGTAGAGAGTCATGAGTATTTATATTAATTAACATGACCTTAATCATCCAGAAAGTTTTACAAGTATACTAAACATACGAGTAAAAAGGTAATTATCCAATTAAAAATGTAACACGTGATGTCACCCTACTAGATGTTTCGAAGAAACGTCCATTCAATCCTGATTGCATAAAATATTTCCAAGAGTTTTCTGGGACCCTACTGAGTTTTCCGAGGAACACTTTGAAACTACCTAACAACCTAACTTCTACTAGAATATAAGACTTCTTCAGAAAGCAGATATAGCAATGAATTAGATGTGAATCATTGGTTTTTTACTCTTGTTCTTATCAGCTATTCACTCTTTTATTATTATTCAATACTATTCGAATCAATCATCACTTTATTTAAGCGCTGCTCTTAATGTGTATAATATTTGGAAATAATAAAACTACAAGGCAGATTAAAGATTGTCACTGAGCTTTAGCAAACCTTTTTAAAAGCCAAAGGTCATTTTTTATCTCACAAATTTAGATAGTATTAGTGAAATAATCAATCTACAGTGAGACTATATATCCACACAACTAAAAATATAATGAGGAAAATAAACGATAGAGAAAAACTAGGAAAACTATTCTTCAAGCCATAAGAACTCACAGTTTTCTATGTGTAATTACAAACAATTGAGTTATGCGTTTCTGCTATTCCTGTAACCTTAAATTTTCAGCTGATCTATAGACCGTCACTGTGTCATACATTATTCCCAAAATATTGTAAATAAATCGAGGTTGGTATCCTGATTTTTACTTTAATTGCCTTGTTTTTTTAGACAAATTATCTTTCCAATTTATTGTCTATGTCTATGTTATTAGGCATGTACCGTTTGAGTAAAAGTGATCATCTAATTTTAATATGAAGGTTATCTACTAGTCGTCTCCTCTTCAATCAACTGATCAGTGTCTGTGAAGTAGATTATTAGTCAGCTAATAGGAAAGTTCCTACTCGCGAAACCAAATTATTCACAACCGAATTCACGCATTCAGTCTCAAGGCTACACTAGGTAGCCTAGCATACACAAGGACGTTTACTAGTCCCAGAGCAGATTTTCCTAAACATTTAACAACATAACCAGTGGACAGATTGAGGTCATAACAGTTTAGAAGGTATACATGTCTGTCGTTGATTGCGTTACAAATACATGGTATGTTTTTAAAACGGTAAACAAAAAGTGTACCTTTAATATCCGACCAACCATATATAGACTGCCAGTGACAAAAACATCACAGCAAGTTGTATTATCGGCTTCATCATAATTACTATATTCACACGGAAAATATTTCAAAGCCTGAAGAGAAAAACGCTGCAAGTTTTGCATCCACTTTATAAAAGCAGATAAAGATTTGACATGCTTTGAAGCAATTGAATGTGATGTAGAATTACTACCGGTGTTCGATTCCGATTCGAGTTGACGCCATATATTGAAGCATAATTCATCATGCGACTCTTTACTGGGAAGAATTTCTAGAAAACATAAATAAAAAGTCGATTTACTATTTATTATTAATCAACTAGAATTTACTAATGAGAAATAAATGTTGAACTGATACAATATTAATGTGAAGACTAATCGGACACCCAAACCGAGATGGATGGTTAACTAAGAGTGAATTACTTTGAACATTTGACCTAAACGTCCAGTTCAAAATCTAACGGGACAACATCAAGAGACGAAGTGCCACGATAGCCGATGACTGGAGCGATTTGCTGCACCATTCATTCTCTTGATATCCATGTGGACAGTGGTTTCAAGTCAAGATTTTCCAACTTCCCCGAGAGAGTCCTTCGTATCCACTAGCCCGGCTTAAGCGTACGAATTCCATCACACCTCCTCTGTAAAGAACATAGTTAGCATCTTAAAAAAGTAGGAAGAACGTGCTTAGAAGGGGTTATAAATGGGCGATCATATGTAGGAACTTCAAGATAGAGAAAGCGATCCCATCCAATTCCGTCATGCCAGAGTATTTCATTATTCGAATAAACGAAAAGTTTACTAGTACAGAAATCGAGTAGCCATTATACTAGTTATAGTGACTTGATGTATTGCTATACTTGGCTAAAATTGCCCTCAGATGAGCTCACTAGTACATGACTAAAAGCCTCAGAAAGGAGCACTATTACAACACTCAAAGTTTCTGTATGCAGAGAAAGCTACTGAACTAACGTACTTTTCCTGAAGTTTGACTACAATCAAACGAAATAGGATAGAAAGATCTAGAGCCGAGTATATATATATATATATATATATATATATATATATGATACGTACAGTTGTATTAGCGTCAGCGTTGACCATTGGTTCAACGAACATTCAATCTAACCATGATAAACGTACAACGTTCCGGTTGGCTTACAGCAGTATCAAATGAAGAGGAGTGAAAAGAGTAACACTGATTACAGTGGTGAGGTAAATGCAACGACCACGTTATGAGATGAACGATTGGTATTAAAAAAATGCATAATATCACACGAAACCCAGGATTTATGAGATGATCGAATTTCGGCAATGTTAACCAAAAATTACGGCTAATAAACAGATGTTAACCATCAAGGCTGTATTTCCCAGCACACAGCTCAAAAAAATCGACAATGACTCAGTGGATTTCTGTCATGTCTTGGTTTGGTCGCCTCATTTTCCAATGTTCCCCAGTAAAGTACACCCAGCCAGATAGAGGCTGGACATACGTTAAGTATTTTCTAGCCAGTTTAATCAATGAAACGCCACGAATCTAATATTTACGTAATGATTTCAAAGGGGAATTTCGTCTGAAAAGCAAATGAGATGTGAAAAATGAATACCAAAAGTTTAAAAAATGGAGCTTGACTTAATCGAAGTAAATAATCAAGTAACAAGAAAACCTTACGTGCCAGTATACGAATATCTGCACAGATTTAACAATACAGTCCTATTCGATAGTTTATCATACCTAACAAAATACTATAATATTGAATTCAGCCTAAATAAATTTGTTTGAAAGACCGTACAATCCTCAGATCTACACAGATTCGTGCTAAATTATGCGATTCTGGTATAAATTTACGCACTTTCATAGTAGTTACACATATATTCCTAGAATCATGTTAGAGAGTGCCTAGACAAAGAAAGAATTGCTTCACGTTTCATGAAGAGATAGCATTAAGAATAATGTAGATTAGATAGAATTACCAAATTGACCATCGTGAGGATTGGCAAAAACAACCAAATCGAATGCGAATGAGGAAGACTGTAAAATAACAAAAATTAGCAACATGAAATATATATTATCTAATAATATAAGTGTATAGTGATTGCATTACTTATCACATACATATACTGCATAAATATCAAAGTGTAGTATTTAAATAGAACTGAATAGTTTGCGAGAAAGCTAAGGATGGTCGAAGCAACACGTGACTTCAGTTCATAAAGTTAGTGACGGTTGATCTGGGCCAAGTTAGTAGATGCAGGTTACCTTGTTGATCTCTTCAAAATAACCTCAATTAGTGATTGGAGACGTTGAGTGTCAATTTTGAATCCCTATAATGGTGTAGACTCATTTGTTTCTTTTCTTTCAATCAATCTTAAGTTTCAGTGCTCTTACACACATACCTTTTCATTCCGTTTTCTAGAACCAGATTCTTAATTTTGGATATTTCTCACTGCCGTTAGTGGCAGTGACACACTTGATGGAGAAGCTCCGGGAGGGTTGGGAACTTTTACGTACCTGAGCAGTATCACTGATAAATAAGAATCTAATGTAGATGTGAAGGCATGAATTAGCAAAGCAACTGCAGCATTCCTACAATTAAAGGGTATCTAGAGATTAAAACAAGTGTCAGCCAATATCAAAATCAGAATTTTCAGTACGAAAATCAAGGCGGTTCTATCGTACCAAAATGAAACTTAGAAGACTACTACAACTGTCATCAAAAAAGTACAAGTATTTATCGAAAGCTGTCTACTCAAGATGATTCAGATCATTTGACCAGACATCATCAGACGTAATCTACTGTGGCAGAGAGCAAACCATCTCCATCTGAGGAGGAAATCAGGAAAAGATGCTGGAGGTATATAGGTTACACTATTGAAATCATCAAATTTCATTAAACAGAAAGACCTAACTTCTAATCCCCAAGACAAAAGGAAAAGAGACAGATCAAGCAACAAATTAAGGCTGGGAATTTTAGACACATCAAGGACAGCAACTGGAAAGTAGAACCGAACACAAAGCTAGTTGGAGATCCCTGATAGGTGGTCTAGGCCACACGAGAGATGATAGGCATAAGCAGGTAGTTGGCAGTACAATTATTTTTACTCCCTTGCCATTCATTATGTTAATTTTATCCCATATCGGTGATGTGGGATAGTAACTTGGGCTAAGACACATTTTTTGTGGCCTTTACATTGATTATGATTGACTGCTAAGGCGTTTCTTGAGGAGTCCGATGTTCCTAGTTTTAATTTAAAACAGTGTTATAATTCCCCTTATTACGACCAGCTACTCTTATTGCTTAGTATTCTTGGACACTACTTCACTCGACAAGTCCCCAAATCAGAACACGGTTGAGCAGGAACGTAATTATATTCCAAATAAAAAGGGTGGATGGGAATAGGAATCACAATAAGAGAGATGTTAGTATATTTATAGTTTTTCCGTAAGAAAATTCTAGTCTTCTCCAAGTGTCCACTAGCGCTAACTGGATAAGAAATAGCGAATCAGAGTGCCCCCAATATAATCCAGTACGAAGTATGCTTTCATTCAAATTATATCCCTCTAACAATCTGAGTAACGAAGTTCCACAGATAGGAACGTTACAGTTGACTTAATCAAATTGAGACTACAGTCTGGAATAGTTATATCAATCGGTTAAATTCTGAGTGGTGAGGTCAATTTTAACGATGGAGCCTTAATCTCAAATGAATTATGAACTATACAAAGTCCAAATTTGTGAAAGAAAATTTTCCCAGATTTAATTATTTCCTTGCAATAGAGTGGACCTGGAATACATATTTTTTATTACGAAGAGATTGGAATATCAAATATTTATGGAAACAAATGTGAAATTTTCCCACAAATTCTATCCAGATGGAGAATTTCCGAGAATATTAGTAAATATCCACTTCAAAGAATCAGATGAATAATTTCTAATAACTAAAGCTGTCATTGAAATTGTATTAATGCATGTGTCATTAAGGTCTAGGAGTTACTATAGGTAATTAAGATATTAACTTATTCCATACGTATGATAATTGGCTTTCAGCTACAATTTTCGTGTGAGTGCTATTGTTACTACACAAGTAACCGAACTAAAGCAAATAAATCTTAAATTCACTTGATATTGTTTTACTTGAATTTTCCCATTGATGGTTTTGGACTGAAATTGATCAGTCTCTTATTATATAATGCTTGTAAATTTAGGCAATATCGAGGCATACGCACAGTATGCACATATGCCAATAAGAGACTGATCAATTTCAGTCCAAAAACATCAATGGGAAAATTCAAGTAAAACAATATCAAGTGAATTCAACTTCAACCCATTGCACAAGCAAGTGGCTATCAGGACTCAGTAGCTAAGTGGATAACGCGATGGCGTTTGAAGCGAACGGTACTGAGTTCGAGTCCCAGAGTGAACATCAACTCTGAGATGCAGGTACATCCAGCTGACGAGTCCCAAACAGGACGAAACGCGCGTCCTGGATTCCACTGCTAGCCACTATCCATCTTTGCTTACAAATAAATCTTAGTTTGAAGCTATGATCTATAAATTGAAAATAAGGTTTTTACAAAGAATAAGTAATTACACCAATTTACATTCCTGTAATCAAATTATGGCTACTTATAATCACTGAGATTATTTACATTGTAATAAAAAACCGATATGATTCTATTAGAAAAGGAATCATTTCACCGACAAAGCGCTTGACATAATCGTTTCCTGATAGGTGAGATATGATATATAGAAATAGCAAAGCGATTAAGAAAATAAGGGGAAATTAACAACGATTATAATTAATAATTCGGGTTTCTTCAACAGTGGGCAACCACGACCCTGCTACACAAGATCGAATACATGGCCATCCAGAGAGGAAGATACCTTAAGACTACTGAATTGAAACGTAGACTGTCGGACTCCAATTTCGTTGCTCGACAATAGAATGTTAGATATAGGATCTGTTTCGAAAAATGTAAAGTCATAAGTATTTACGTATAAGAAAAGTTTTCAACTGAACCAATACAGTTGTTGTTGGAAATACTAGATCCCAAGAACGCACTTTGTAATTTTATTATGGAAATCGGAATTTCTCATTTTCGCGCCAAAAGCGCACACATTTACCTTCAGTTTGTATCTCCCACCTGAAAGGACCTTGGATGTCATTGGTTCGTTTCCTCTTTTAGTACGCTAAATTGTGACGTCTACCAAGGACATTTGTGTACTATATATATATATATATATATATATATATATATATATATATATATATATATATATATATATATATATATAAGTTGTGTGTTTGTTCGTTTGTGCTTCCGGTCGATTGTGGAATATATATTTTTCCTGGCTGAATCTGGCCTTCTCCCTCAATGGAATTGCTTAGTTTGCCCTGTTGTTGTGTTGCTAACTTTCGTCCCGTTAGCCGGTTCTAGATGATATCATGATCTCCATAAACATAGCAGTTGTACAGTTCGCTCTGCTCTTTAATAGCTCTTGAAATCATATACGTTCATAACTGAAAATTATCTTGAAATGATACAAAATATTCACACACCACTACCATAGTAAATAATAAACATTAAATTCAAAGTGTAAATAACAAAATTAAAAAGAAATTATTACACTCAAAAACTCTTACTTGTAAACATTTTAAAAATGGCTCAGGATCTCGTGGACCAATTACAGTGAAAATAATAATTCGTATAGGACGTCTACCAAACAAATAAGAATATTAGAATGGGAATTAATCATGTTAAGATAAGTGCAAAACTACGTTACGTGACAAAGAGAGAGAGAGCGAGAGCGAAAGAGAATGAAAAATTTATCCTACGTTTCAATAGAACAAACTCGTGAAATAAAATAAATTGTTAGTGTTGAGATGACCAATATGAAACGTTAACTTGAACCAGCTTATATGCTGAATGAAATTATGAGACTCATGATTAGAATGAATAAAGGTCAAACAGAATAAGAGAAATGTTAGTTTAATTACAAATTCGATTAAATATCTGGAGGAAGATACAAGGCTATAAAAATTCAATAAGAAATAATAAACTGCATGAGGTACATGAGGTTGTGTATGATACCGTTTGATAAGTTGATACACGATTCATTTTAAGAATTTTGATTGTACTAATTAATTTTTCTTTTCTTTCCTTTTCATTTGTTATCAATGTGTGTTCTTTTTAAAAGGCTGGAGGTAACTAATAACTTTGTATTGCTGGGGTGTGATGATCAAATCTAGCAACATACGCTCGTTTCTTATCTTTATGAATTCATTTACTAATTCAAAACTCAAAATTACTTCATATGAAAGATTTTTGATCAAATTAGCACATAAATGGATTGAGATTTTCGTAAATTGTGGTCTACTATCACTTCGTTAATACATTTAATAAAGTGATAGGGAGAAGTCAGTGAAAACGATTTTGTTTTGTTTTTTCACTCATCGGAAAATACAAATAATAACACATTCTTTATCGAATGTCCAGAATTTTTCAAACCAATAGATTTGAACTTGGCTTGGACACTTATACACTCTGATTTATTCATATTGATCAATAATTGTGCAGTATGGTATTAGTTAAGTCACAAAAGAAAAGTAAGATTCCAATAATTTCAGTCTCCTGTGCTAATGGGGTATGGCAACTTGGAAATATTTACACAGGTACCAGGTCCTACGTTGCGCTTGATTGACTGACTGAAATATTAGATTATGACGACCAGAGGGTAGAGTAAATGAGCAAGAAAAACCTTCTTCAATAAAACGAATAAAATGGTATTCAACATTTTAAAAAATGTACGAAAACATACCTGCTATTATTCGAAGCAAAGCTCTCATTCTGAAACCATTTTATTGCAGACTGACAAGAAAAAGAAAGATCAAACAGTACAAAATACACATTATGAGTGGTCTGTGAGAACGTGAATTGAAGTATGAAGAAATAACAGTTAAGTTACAAGATGACCAAATAAAGACAGTGGAGAGAAAATTGAAAACCTACCATCTAGTTGGTTAATACCAGTATATATTAACTGTTAAGTTACCGCTGATTATTTCCACAGGAAAGTCTAACGAAAAGTAATATGTGAAGATACGTAGACAATTTCACCAATAGGCATATAAATATATTGAATAAACAATGTTTTCAAGATTTATTCAATTACTATTTTCTTCTTAACAAGACAAATGAAGTATCATCGATCTATGTTGATATGATTATATGGAGATGGTAAAGAGTCCTGTTAGTGTTCATTGAGCTAGTTGGCTTAATTATAAAACTTTTATTATTTGCCTATACAGTATTAATAGGATGTGATTTAAGAAAATGAATTTGTAACTAGGATTTCTTTATAAGTGGCTAGTAGATTGTCCGACCGATATGAGATTTGATTCATGGTTATCTGGAAGTAAGTTGTTTACTGAATATGCATATATATTCCAATTTCCTCCATTCCTGTGTGATCTTAGTTGATAATCATTTTTCTGACTAACTAATAAATAGATCGAGGATCATGTAGGAGTGAAGACCTTAGTGGTAAAGCTTTTGTGAATTCACTACTTTCCTCGGTCTGACTCTATTAAAAAAACTTTCCAATTCAGTTTATTTTCGTCAATATCTCAGAGACTGAATAGTCAAATAATAGTTTATCGTTTCGATAACTATCATAAACAATTTCAGTAGTTATATATAACAAATGATTTGAACGAGAACAGATGGTGAAGGATTCTATACTAAGATGCAATGGCCATCCAGTGTTTCCAAGTTATCAATGATTATCCAAGTATCAGCCCGTGATTTAAAGTCTATGAAAATCCTACCATTTCCACAAAACTGTAGGCCAAAAATTTTAAACTGCTTGGATCGCTGCAATAAACATGTAACTTATTTACGAAGTACAGATTTATTTATCCTAAAATGAACTATACATCTGGTTTCCTGGCTGGAATTACTTAATGGATGCTCAAATCGAAATCGGGTGGGCAGAGTTCAAAGTTATAACTAAAAGTCGAGTGATTTAACCATCAAGCTAACATCCTGCACGACTAGTATCTAATAATCCTATCACTATATAACATTTCCATGATTTTCCACAAACTGCTTCTTGTCAAATGGATAATAAAGATAAGATAAATATGCAAATTCAGTGTTGTTATCAAAGTATATATATATGAATCAGAAATATGGGCTGTAATTCTGCTAATCATAGCGAAAATGAATGTAAATTACGTGGTATATTGTAATTTGCTATTATAAATGCCAATTAATAACTTTAGTTGATATACTCCCCATAAACATTAAAAAAATTTCAAACTCATTATTATTCACTGATTAAAACGTCTATTTGCTAGTGTGGCAAGCGATATGATGCAAGATTGCAAGCAGTGGGGTTGAAAAAGATTATGTAAACAAATGAATTTACTAGTTTTTATAACACTACAATTATAGTCGTTTTAATTTACACGATATCATTAATCGTCATTATTATGTCTTGTGGCCGCTGAGCAAGACCACGTGCCCAGTCAACAATCAGAATCGCGATCCTAATTTCGTCTATTTCGCGCCCATCATTTACTCTATAGCTTAGTGTCTCTGACATGGCCAATTACACGCCCTACCAGCACTACTAACCTCAAGCTGACACAACCAAGTTTTTATTCGTCCACGTCTCCGTAGCTCCTCTCTATGCCCTGTTTTGAGTCTCGAAGTAGAAATCAACTCCTGATATGTCTCTAAATTAGGCAGATGCGGTTTATATGCAGACAGACAAGACCACATCAAACCATAAAATGAAAAATAACAATTAAATATAAACGAATAAAAAAGTGGCTTTGAAAGAAAGAGAGTAATCTAGTTACTTGATAGTTATAGAATAAGAATGTGTGATAATCTATAAAAAAATCTTTCATTAAAACCACTTTATTCTGAGTTATTTTCACTAGTCACAATCGATTTGTTCATGAATACAGTTATTGAACAAATAAATGGTTTGAGTCTATATATATATATATATATATATATATATATATATATATATATATATATATATATATACTTAGTGTTCAACTTTACGTGCACCTTATTCTTACACTAATTACATAAGATGAAGTGATTTGCATACATTATTTACAATTTTTAAAATGATAGTTTTGGCACAGTTTCGTCTTCTGAACTGAATGATTTAATAGTGAAATTTCCATTATTACACTGAACATCATCGGTACAAACTTCAGATAGAAGTGAGTTATTCGAATTCTTTCTCATACGACTGATAGTTTGCCTTGTCGACCTTGATTGGCTATTATTGACCTTTACTTTATCATTGTCGGCATATTCATTTTGAATATTTTCCACCTGTGACTCGATGATTATTGATGCTCTACCGGAATCACCCACCTGAGCTACAAATCTTTGCCATCATCAATTAAAAGTTTAGTATGCAGCTCAATCATTTCAATAAAACAACTAAAAAATTTGTAAAACACAAACAGTACATTTCATGGTGATTACACAATTAATTACATGCGAAAATTACAATTCCTTTATTTAACCAAATTATACTCACTTGTAAACTTTCTACAGTATGTGCACCATCCAGATAATAAGTTATATTTTTTCGAATTACAATTTGCCATCGACCAGGCCATCGGGCGGATAACGCATCTTTGGAACAAAGAAAGCCCACAGTAAATATACATATCGCTTAACCTCTAGACTAATTAGCTATTATAACAACATTTAATAGATAGTTGACATCCATCCTACAAATATCCTCGTCTTAACAGTTTTCGGCCATGTCTGGTTGAACACATACAAACTTCAGGCAATATTGACCTCTTTATACATAATTTCTGACTCAAAATCATTTTAATTTTCATAACGAAAAACCTTTTTACGTAATTATGGGCTGTTATATTCGAAAGCACATTTTCTCAGCTATTAATGACTTTTAAGGTTAATTAACTATCCCGTTTGCAAGATCCTACTATAGTGATTTATTTCTATATTTAAACGTATATAGCAATTTGTACTAGTTTAAGTGATACGTTAGAACAATTCACTGAAATAGTTAGATGGAAAATAACTGCTTCCTTGTGAATTTGTAAGTTTGTTAGTTTTCACATACTATAATCGCTACTGTAATTAGAAATCAGTGTCTATCAACATACCCGATAAACAGGTTACTGAATTTTGCTAGTTTACTTTGTATTACATGTATGGTAGTCCTACTTATATTGAAATTTTATACACGTAATTTTTATCGATTTTCTGTTGTCACGATAATTGAAGACTACACTCTACTTGTTCAATAGAAAAATCAATTCCCATTTTCATCTCAATATCTATTACTAACCAGTTGTATCATATAGGGCTCGAATAGAGTTGATGTAGCTTTTCTTTCTATAGTTACACAACAGTTGGACCGTTGCAGGCCCCCAAATGCCCTGGTACGGCCGAGAGTGGGGAGAGTCTGCTCTCCCTCTCAGAATGCTCTCACACGGCCACGCGTATACAGCCTCTGCCAGGGAAGTCCTACTCACTGTCTTCTCGTAACGGGGGTGTTGTTTACGAAAATAAGAGGACGAAAAGCGAATGTCCGGCGCATTAAGTGGATTCCAAACCATTGATGCAGATGGGCTCCAGTATCCTAAGAGAACAAATGGCGTATGAACCAATTTTCGGTCACCGGCTACCATGGGACTGCATCTCCTCACGATGGCGAGTAAAGCCGCTTGCGGCTTCGCGAAACGTCCTGCTTATAAGCACTAGGTTTCGTCAGGCTCTTTACAACTCGTCGAAGCCCAGTCGGTCTACTCCGAGGGACCGTGAGTTTGACCACAAACGAAGGATGTTACGCAAGGAAATCGGGAAAAGCTTGCGTAAGGACCGAGAAGCCTGGTGGTCGGAGCGTGCTAATGATCTAGAAGCAGCAGCTGCATCTGGTAACTACTGGAAGCTCTTCCAACTCATACGAGCCACTGCCAGCAAGAAGTCTGATTTGAGTGAAACAATCTGCGAGGATGATTGGACGTCTTGGACGATGAGCAGAATTCTTCGAAGGACAGTTCAACTGGCCTGTTGCTCCAGCAACACCGGTCAGACTGTCCTGCCCTCCATGGCCAGTGACGACTGATCCACTAAATGAAGCGGAAATCTGCAAAGAACTCCAACTCTTGAAGCGTTACAAATCACCTGGCCCAGATGACTTACCTCCGGCTCTTTTTAAAGATGGTGGTGACTTTTTGACTAAGGAATTGACGACGTTGTTTACAAAGGTTTGGGAACTAGAGAGTGTGCCAACGTCATGGAATGAGTCGATAGTTGTCCCTATCTTTAAAAAGGGTTCACGTCGTTCTTGTAACAACTATCGGGGGATAAGTTTACTTCCGATTGCGTCCAAGCTATTGGCTTCCGTCATTCTTCGTAGGTTGTTCAAAACCCGAGAAAGATTGACTCGCGAGGACCAGGCTGTGCTTCGTTCTGGTCGAGGATGTATTGATCATATCTTCACCCTCCGCCAAATGTTAGAACACCGCCATACTTATCAAAGGCCAACAATCGTAGTGTTTCTTGACATCAGGGCTGCCTTCGATTCGTAGGACAGGGCTGTTCTCTGGGATTGTCTATTGAAGAAGGGTGTGCCTGAGAAGTTTAGTAACATCCTAAAAGCCCTATATACAAACACTTCAGGCAGAGTGAGGGCATACAACCACCTTTCTCCATTGTTCCATTCCAGCAGTGGGGTTAGGCAGAGTTGCCCAATCTCACCATTCCTCTTCAACTTTGCCATCGATGACGTTCTGGAAACAGCTCTGATGGATGTAAGTAATGGTGGTGTGGATCTGTTGCCTGGAGAAAGACTTCTCGACCTTGAGTATGCGGACGATATTGTCTTACTGTGCGATAATGCCCAAGGCATGAAATCCGCACTTAATCAGTTGACAATCAGTGTCCGTAGGTATGGTATGTGCTTTGCACCTTCCAAGTGCAAAGTACTTCTACAAGACTAGCAGGATTCCAATCCTGTACTCACCCTGGATGGTGAGCAGATAGAAGTAGTTGAGAAGTTCGTATACCTGGGTAGCTGCATAAGTGCTGGTGGTGGCGTGAGTGGTGAGATCAATGCACGTATAGTGAAAGCCAGAGCGGTTTATGCCAATCTGGGCCATCTTTGGCACCCTCCTGATGATAGTCTGGCTGTAAAAGGTCGGATCTACAAGGCGTCGGTGATAACAGTTTTACTCTATGCTTGTGAAACCTGGCCTCTCCGAGTTGAGGATATTAGACGACTCTCTGTGTTTGATCATCGTTGTCTCCGAAGGATTGCTGACATTCAGTGGCAACACCATATTAGTAATGCAGAGGTTCGGCATCGTGTGTTCGAGCACAGAGACGATAGTTTAATTGATGCCATCATCTTGAAACATCGACTTCGGTGACTTGGACATGTTCTCCGAATGTCGTCCCAGCGAATTCCACGTCGTGCATTATTTGCCGACTCTGGGACTGGTTGGAAAAAGCGGAGAGGTGGTCAGTGTATGAAATAGTGTCGCGGTATGAAAGAAAGCTGCAAAGGGCTGGCTTCTGTTGGTCCTTCACGACAACTTGGCTGGGGTCCTAGAGATGGTGCAACACAGTGGCTAGAGGCGTTATCAGATATGGCTCAGAATAGAAGCCAGTGGCGATCCTGCTGTAACCTTCTCTCACCTTCTTCATAACAAGTGGTTGGACCTTCCTTAACTGAAAGAATTCTCCTGGTTGCATCTTTCCGTTTCCTCCATTATTATTATTACTACACTACCTTACACTAATCTGTGGTCGTTATTATTCTTTTTTTCTTTTACGCTTCTCGCCTTCTTTTTCTCTTCCCATTCTGATTGTTTTGTGTGGCGCATATATATTCAGTGCACCCTTGTACAAATATTTATGTGTTAAAATAAATAAATGTGTGCAGTTATGCAGGTGACCGAATATCGCATGCACTGTGTTTTGGATGTCATATGGTCAGAAGTCAAATCAGTAGAAAACCCTGAATTTCGTTCCCGTGTTACCAGCAACTTCTCACTATCACGGTGCAAATTGGTAGGCATCATGCGACTCGAACCGGCATCACCAAGCGTTATCACTGAGTCATCAATGCTGTGACTGACATCCTGCAGAACTAAGATATTTATACGAACCGGTCACTGAGTAGTAACCAATGTCGCATATACAATAATCTTTTGCGTGAAGATTGCAAATATATCTTGCTGATGAATAACAAATAGCAGAAAATCTCCTGATCAATTCGGAACACCTAAAGTTACAGCACGACACATGTTTTCTCGTTTTTCTTAAAGAGTGAAAACTTACTAAATAAAACAGTTGAACTCGGTTTCCATTCAGATGTCGGCTGTAAACCTGGAACAAAAAAATGGAAGAATTACAAGGAGTAAAGTGCTGAAGAAAGGAATTCATAAAATACTTGATACAATACATGGATTACAGCTGATAAAGGCTTTATAATGGACTTACTTTGATTACTCAGTACTCTTAGCCTATCCTCACCACTCCACTCTATGTGGTCACATTATATACGGGGAATGTTTCGAAAATAAGTGTAATCAAATACTTGAAGTCTACACACATCTACTTTCATAGACTCTATTTCGCAGCAGCAGTATATTAGTAGAGAGCAGACTGAGGCGTAAAGTACTTGCCGTATGATCGGTCGGTAAAAAAAAATCTTGTTCACAACGCAAGTGATGGAAGTTGGTAAAAGTAAGATTATATAACACTATCTCAACATCTGACATCATTGACGTCCAATAATTCTGTTCGCAGTCGAAATGACCATTAAAACCAGACAAATTTTCAAAAACGAGAACCATTAAACTTTAACAAAACAATTAATCAGCATAAACAAACTTTTGAAAAAAAGAACATACAATTAAGGAGAAAATAATGTAATAACTAACCAATATTTGTAACGTTATCATTATTAGTAGTTCCATGTAATTTAGCAAACCAATAATTTATTGTAGTTAAACTTAAAGCAAGATTTAATAATTGACTATTAGGTATGTTATTCATATTGTCAAAAATATCTTTAAATGGCTCAGTCATATTCTCTGTAGTCAATAGTGAATCTAACGTAGGTGCAACATACAATGGACACTGGAAATCAAAAATACAAAATAGAAGTGAGAAGACACAACATTTCGATCATGTATTCAGATAAATAAAAAGTAGACTAATGCATAGAAAGTTGAACTTTGCTTAGTTTGTCTATGAAAGGTTGGCATTTTCCTGTTAATAATTTTAGTGAAGGTAATTAATTGGTTTCTCATAGTATATGTGCACCTTGAGTGGAGTGCATCGAAATTGTCATGGAATTACATCAGTCAGACAGCTACAACGTAGGACCAGGCACATATATGCATCGGTCCAAGTTGCCATACCTCATTAGCATAACAAGGTGAATACAAAATTCATAGAAGTGGCTACTTCAATGGTAGAAATATATAAAAGAAGGACTGCATATAAAGATATAATACAGGAAGAAAGAGTTAGTTTGTAGAAAGAAAGGTATAAAGTAATTTTAAGCTCATGGTTTAAGGTAACACAAAGAGCGTATACATTGATTCTGAGTCATGTTACCCAGAGCCTCCAACCACTGGTTACGATAGTCGTGCGGATCCCAATCATACTTTTAGTAAAGTTTTTATTAATTACTATTCAACAAAAGTAAATGATGAAAGTACTTGCTATGAAAATCACTCGATTATTGATTCGAATACTATTTGATCTACTTTATACTAATTAATCCCTTTGATAAATTTCAATAGTAATAAGAAGATGAAGATGATCAGAACTATGTGATATTAATGTATCACACATATACTTGAAAACATATATAAAAATAAAAGATCAACTAGACTAGAAATGGAGGGTAAGAGGAGACAAAGATAATAAAGAAATAATATGAAAACAATTTGAAACCTTATCACTCTGGATAATAAGCTAATATTACTAGGGTAGCTTTAAGGTGAGAATAAAGTGTTTTTTGAATACACAAAGAGGATTTAAATTTCCGTATGGCTAAGGGTTCAATAAATCTTAGTATACACCCTTTTACACTTTTGTACAACACCACAAAAGCCGAGTTAAGATAAATCTTATGGCATGCTTCATTATTCGAAATGTATTGAGCTAATTTATCACATAGTTCTGATAATCGTCTTCTTATTTACTTTAGTTTGAGTAATCAAGTACTGTTATTGCATTCTTTCAACTAAAGTGTAGAGGTAAATCCCCAGTACCTGGATTTGTACGTGATGAATCAAATGAAAAGAAATTGTTTGTAATTATTTTTTAGAATTCAATTACACAACACATTCAGGACTTTGAATTTTTTCCGGTTAAGTTCGAGGAATATCATGTTCCATAAAAAAGTTTTCTACATAGAATAGTTGAAAGCAAATTTATCAGTTTTTGCAATAAATTATTTGCTGTCCTTCATGTTTCTTCATACATTATAAATGATTATCTATTGAACAAATATTATTCTTAAGATTAGTTAGTTTATGATGAGGATTTCATAATTTAGCGATTACGAAAAACTTGTAACTCTATAGAATTATCAAGGCAGGCATATTCAAGATCTAAAAATGTCAACAGAGACCGATTAACTGCAGTCCTGAGTAACAACCGCGAATTACGAACGCTTACTGACAAATAGACGCGCATTGAAAAAGTCAGTGGTAATTTGTGTTCAGTAGCTCAATTGAGAGGCGAGTCCCGAATAAGACAAAACTCTCTTCATGGATTCTATTGATAGCCACAATAAGACCGATTACGATAATCTAAGTTATGAACTTTTTCTAATTAAAATAATCCAGTTATTCAGAAGGACATAAGTATATACTTAAAAATGTAAATAACACTGATTTCAAAATTGTTTTGTAACTATGAGAGTAAGTCACGGAATGTTAGTTCATGATGAACAGAGAAAAAACTAGTTTTATATAGTAAACTAACCTACTTTTCCTGTTCATTTTAAATGGGTAGACAGATCGCACATTTAAATGATATTTAAAAAAAACATAACGTGTACAATTACTTTAACAAGTTCAGCTTCTTCAACAAATTTATGCATTGCTTCATCTGATTGCCCATGACTGACTAATGCTATAGAACCAGTCTTTTTGAAGATTTACATCATAAAAAGTTAGGTAGAATTAGAAATAAATAAAATTAGCATTCGATCAAAACTTGGATTTCATAGGCAATAGACATTTCAAAATACAAATCTAGGATTCGATTGCTGTTAGAACTACCCGAGAATTATTTGAAGTCTTGAAAAGTTGGGAAATAAAGTTGAAAGTACGTCATCCAAACAGCATTCAATAGAAAGTTCCCAGAATATTTCATAAAAATGGTCGATTACGTATTATAACCTGACTGAATGATTGCTAGCAACTTTGGCATATCTCCAGAAACTCCCTGAGTATCAATATTACACGTAAACCTGAAAATAATCTTGTTTTCTGTACCTAGACAAACCTTGAAAGTAAACCTTTTCATACTTACTGTTAACTCATTTACCAGTACAGAGGTTCGTATACTTTGAACTACACTCTAGATATAAGTGCTAATGATACTAACTAGTTGCTCAAACCGAATTAGGTGGAGTGGGGTTAGGAAGAGTAACCTATTAGTTCAATGTCAAACGTCTTGATCGTTAAGCCAAAACTCAACAATTAGGCTGTAATAAATCTGCACTATTTATTAATAAAGCAGTTCTACTACTAATTGCCATAATCACAGACAGTTGGTATTCAGTGTAAAATAGGAAATGAAATGAAGAGTATGAAGTCTATCCTGATAATGTTGATAATATTAAGGGTGATGGGAGTAGAGTATTTTTTTGCATCCTTGCTATTCTTGGAATTCTGTCTAATTTCAAGTTTATTTCTCAAATAAATAACCAGACAAGTGAATACATAACCTGATTGTTTGGAATATATTGAGCCCATATTATTGATTGTTCTTGCGAATTTCTTATCCTCATAACACAACTCAAATTATAGATTGAAACTTAATAATGAGAATTATTAGGGTCTATGAGGCCTACAAAACAATGATGTGATGTGTGGCTAGTAGAAGCACAATGTGATTGATTACCAAACGCAGGTAGATAGGCCCTCAACTTACTAACTACTTAATGTGTGAATTCCTTTCCATTGGCGATTTCCACTTTGGATTCCCTGTTTGAGTGGACTGCTAGTGTTTATGCCTAATATATCTCTTTTTGGATCTGGGTTTTTTATTTGCTGTTGCGAATCTTACAATATGATCACAATCTGTGTATAGAGCATAGGTAGACTATCCAAGCTAATAGTGGAATTGTATTAACAATTTCATTTCGCTATGCTAATGCGATGTGGCAACTTGAACCGATCCATATATGTACCAGGTTGCATGTTGCGCTTTACTGACTTACTGATAATGTGAAAAGTAACAGCTAAGATGGATACATGTCTTTACCAAAATCTTATGGTGTTTAAGTCTTTTCACATTTATTTACAAGAATAACCACGTATAAATACTTCAGCGAAACTGTCAGAAACGTCATTCAGGAATTTGCAAAACCACGTTTTCTAACTCTGTTATTGAGCAGACACTTAAATATCTATTCATCTTCCTACATAAGTTCAAATTTTTATGTTAAAAAGAAATAACATTTCCTTAATATGACTACACAGTATATCAAAAACATAATAGTGAAGACTACCTTAAAAATCCCTGCTTTAGCCCAAGCTATTTCAGCAATGGTATTGCCTAAAATATTTGTATGCTCCAGTGCCAAACTTGTGACAACAGTTACGTAAGGATCTCTAAAAATTTAATATGATTAAAAATAAATCGTTTCATCTTCTTTTTTTTGAAAAAGAGTGAATATTACGGATTGAACACGTGAACAAAAGCAGTCACATGTCAAGTATTTTCAAAAATATCCTTAAAATTAGAATGGTTGCTTTTTGCAAGTAGAGGTTCTATTTTTCATACAGAGGTTTTGGAAAGATTAGATTAATTCATATGTTTATAGGTTGAGGACTGAATTCAATTGGACCATTAATAAAAACTAGGGGGCATTGGACAAATTTTTTGTTCAAGGACATGATTATTCACGAGTGCACACTTAGCAGCTTTAGATCTTATGACGAAATTTTAAATCGCAGAAAAATTAATTTGGCATCTAACTCTATTCATTCCGGACGTTAATTAATAAGCGATATTCCGTAACGAACATCAAATGACATTGATGACGAGTGTTTGACTTCAGATATACCAGAACTCCCTTGATCATGACTTTTCATCAGAATTCCAACAATTCATCACAAAGGAAGTCAAGCAATATTGAATATTTTAAAAACAATGATAAGAAGTTCGTTTTGTCATTAGGCGAAATGAAAGAAATTTAACGAAGAGCTTACTCATCATTTTCATTAATTAAAATTGTACAGCTGTAATTATTTTCGATTTGCGAAACCTTTTGATAAGTTTAGACAATTTTTTTAGTGACGCAATACCCGTCTATTTTACTTTAAACTGCTATTTACTACAGATGACTATAAAATAACCAGTTTGTTACTGCCGTATTTTCAGTTGTTAATAAATCATATTAGTCAGTCAGTCAGTAACAACGTAGAACTTCGTACGTACGTACATCAGTTCGAGTTGCCACACCACCTTAGCACAGAGATGCAGTTGTCGATTCAAATCCCGTAGTGGTAGAGGTAGCAAGAGTATAAGCAGTAATAAGGAAAATTAGGGTTTGGAGATGTTATTTAAAAAGTATAATACAGTGAAATAAATTTGGAAAGAGGAAAAAAGGGACATGGAGAATTCAGAAGATTAGAATCTGGGAGAACACAAAGAGTGGATGCACCTGCGCCATTGCAAACGATTTTGAGCCATGTCCTTCAGGGTATCTAACCATCGGTTGCTATCATATTAGGCTAAGACAGGATACGCTTTTTCGTAATAACCGACCATATGCATAATTCATTTGTTTGCACATAGATCCTGGACAATTTCATCATCAAATTGAGATATCTAAGAGGATATTTCGACATCCAGTAAAAAGGATAGAAATGAGTGCTATCGTTGGGGTTTGATCGGAGACCTAGAATGTATCTTAAAAAGACGGGACTCTTCAAGATGAGTGATGGCAGTGTAACCTATATAAATATTTGAGCATAACTGTAGAAGACGGTCACCGTTATCTGTTAGCTAGGAATGAAAGCTAAAAGACTCACATAAGTGTTTCTCAACATAACTAAGCCTACACTGTAAACTCAAGAAGTGTTCCATGTACATCCCAAAATAAACTAGCAAAGTGATCTCGGGATATGGGCCGTCCGTAAGGAGATGCAGTCCCATGGAAGCCGGTGACCAATAATTGGTTCATACGACTTTTGTTCCCGCAGGATACTGGAGCCCATGTGCACCATTGGTTTGTAATCCGGTTAAAGTGCCGGACAATCGCTTTTCGTCCTCTCATTTTCGTAAACAACACCCCCGCCCCGAGATGGCAGTGAGTAGGACTTCGCTGACAGAGGCTGTATACTCATGGCCGTGTGAGAGCATTTCGAGAGGGAGAGCAGACTCTCCCCACTCTCGGCCGTACCAGGGCATTTGGAAATATTTTATACAATATCTGATAACATATTTCATTGTCCATTAATCTTCAATAATCTAAACTATTAGTGGGATATTCTACAAGACAACCAGTACTGTAAAAATAAATAAATGAAACGTGTAGGAACGCTGTGCTCAGGGTATAAGTAACCTATCTATTCTACCGGCAGATATTATGGGGTCGATTGGCAAATGAAACTAGAGTGAAGCTAAATATTACAATCAACGCAGAGCGAAATGGGACAGAATTTTCAAAAACACAATTGATTAAATAAACAAGAAGTTAACTCACTTGAAAATATTTGTATGATCATAACGTCCACCAATACCAACTTCGAAAATCCCGACATCTACCTAGAAGTAAACATTAAGACTTAAACCTTCAAAATAAACAAATAACAATAATTGATTCAAGACCATTTAAAGAATTAAAGAAAAATAATTCTCTAATCATTAAAATTCCGAATTAATTGTGAGCTATATTATGACATTACAGAGGTAAATAAAACAAGACAATAATTGACGATAATTTCAAAGTATAATTACAGAAACAACGATATTTATAAAATCCCAATGAGTGGGAAAAAATTAAATTTCTGGAGTTTCGTAACTCAGTGTGAGGCGCTTCTTCAGGGAACAGAAAAAAATCAAATTAAATTCATATGAACAGACATACTTCACTCTTAGTTATACTAAAAATATTCTGTCGTGCGTCCTTGACACTACTTACTTACTTACGCTTGTTACCCCTCGTAAAGGAGCATAGGCAGCTCACCAGCATTGTCCATCCAATTCTGTTTTGGGCAATACGTCTCAGTCGTTTCCAGTTGCTATTCATCTTTTTCATGTCTGCTTCCAATTATTGGTGCAATGTGTTCATTGGCCTTCCTCTTTTCCGTTTCCCTTCAGAATTCCAAGTTAGCGCTCGCATCATGATACAGTTTGGTGTTTTCTGTAATGTATGTCTTATTTACTTTCAATGCACTTTCCCAATTTCCTGCTCAGCTTGAACCTGGTCTCCCACAGTAAACTGTTGCCGATGGTATCCGGTACAACGGACATTGAGTATCTAACATAGACAACTGTTTATAAATACTTATACGCTATTGATCATGGTTGTTGTAGTTCTCCAAGTAGAACTGTTTTGACGTTCCTATTGAAGATTCTGACTTGGACGACAGTTGTTTTGAGTTCCATATGTTTTTTAACTATAGGAATGCTGTCCTTGTTTGCTAATCCTTGCATTTTCATCTGCATCAGATCCTCCACATTCATCAATGATGCTACCCAGGTACGTGAGACTCCACCTCTTCCGAAGTTTTACCATCAGGCGTGATTGGGTTGGTGCTCGCCGTGTTGTATTTGAGGATCTTGCTTTTTCCCTTGTGTATTTTGAGGCCTACGGATGTGGACGCTGGTGCTACACTAGTTGTCTTCACCTTTATTTGTTGGTGTGCATGGGATAGAAGAGTCAAGTTATCTGCGAAGTCCAAATCGTCTAGTTGCATCCAACCTATCCAGTGCACTCCAGGCTTCCTTTCAGATATCGGTCTTCATAATCCAGCCAAACACCAGAAGAAAGAGAAACGGTGAAAACAAGTAGCCTTGTTTGACTCCGGTCCTCACATGGAATGCATCTGTCAGTTGTCCTCCATGCACCACTTTGCACTGCAGTCTGTCGTATTAATTCCGGATGACGTTAACGGACTTCTCAGGTATTCCATGGTGTTAAAGAAGTTTCCATCAAGAGTTCCTATCCACACTGCCAAATGCTTTCCCATAGTAAAGGATGTTGATGTGTAGTGACGAGTTCCATTCAACTGATTGTTTAACGATGATCCATAGTGTTGTGATTTGGTCCGTACCGATCCTTGTGGAATTCAAGCCTGTTGATCTCACAGTTGAGCGTCCACTGAATCTTTCATCCGGTCCAACTAAACTTTGTTGAACACTTTTCCCAGTACCGATAGCAGTGTGATTCCTCCATAGTTCTCACATTTGCTCATACCTCCTTTCTTTGGTATGTTGATGAGATATCCTTCTTTCCAGTCTGTCAGCAATTGTTCTTCCGCCCAAATCTTCCTGAATAGAATATGGAGTATCTTTGCAGTTGTTTCTATTTCTTACTTCAGTGTCTCAGGTGGTATATTGTCAGGTCCTGCTGTTTTCCCATTCTTGATTTGCTTCATGACCATTCTGATTTTTTTGATCACTGGTGGAGTGACATCGATATGAAGGTCTGTAGGTGCTGCTTCGATTTTTGGTGGACTCAATGGAGCTGAACTATTCAAAAGTTCTTTAAAGTATCTTACCAATCTGTTCTTCTGTTCATGAATCTCAATGATTGGCTGTTTTCCTTTCTTGAATCCTATCTAGGGTTTCGACAGAGATACTTTCCTTATGATGATGCTTCTTAAGGCCATGTACCTCCTGCTACGTTGATATTAATGCTCCTTTGATACCTTTCCAGTTGCCTCCCATAGTAGTTTCCTCTTCTTTCAGTAGATCTTGTAAGGCTTGGAACCTGTCGTTGAGAGTTATCTTGAATTTGTTGAGTTTGTTAATATCTCGAAGGAGGGCTTTATTGAACCTTTTCACTGCTTTTTCTCAGCTGTCCAGTGTATCTTCAGCTCCAGTTTCATCTTGGCAACTACCAGTTGGTGGTGATCTGAAGCTATATCAGCTCCTTTCCTGGTTCTCACGTCTTTCATTGGCATTCTGAATTTTTAGTGATGCAATTATGATCGATCTGATTTCATGTAATGTGATCCAATGAGACCCATGTACCTTTGTGTATTCGTTTGCGTGGGAATATTGTGCTGCCTATAACCATTTTGTCGAATGTACATAAATTTGCAAATCTGTCACCATATTCGTTCCACTCTCTCATGTCGTCCCATGATATCTTCATACCCGGTGTTGTTCATTCCGACTTTGGATTTTAGGTCTCTCATCAGGATGGCCAAGTCCTTTCCTGAACACTTCACCATAATCGATTGCAACCTCTCGTAAAACTGACCTTTATCACCGTCGTTGCTATCATTGGTGGGTGCATAACATGGGATAATATCCATTGTGATTCTTGATATGATGGAAAGAAAAGTCAATTTTCGATTGATTTACTCATTATGAGTTTCGTTCAACATTACTTCCATTCTCATTCAATGTAATGACTACTCAATGTAGTATTTGTTTTCTTTTATGATATACGATAATCTTGTATTTTATTGACATGAACTATGCTTAATATGTGACTTGTTATAACTCTAAGTATTTTTCATATATGAGATGTCATCTTAATTATTAATCAAATCGTGTGTACAATCAATACATAAACGAGTGTATTTTTGACTATCGTCGTCGTCGCAGTGTTTTCGGGTTAATAAATCTTCACTTATACCAGTTTTTGTGCTCTTACTTTCGCGTCGTGGGAATCGCGGAGGTCCCTCGTTCCGAATATAAGTGATAAACGTTTCCGACACAACAATCACAGACAACCAGATATAGCAAGCAGCATTCAACTGACGAGTTATAACAATTCTCTTCTTATTTGTTTTGATGATCCTGGGTCTATGAGATTTCCATCTTATAAGTGCTTCTTTGGACAGCATCAGAGCAACTCCCTGAGTATGCGGAGCATTTTATTTTTCGTAACTAGAGTACAGCAACATCTCTTTCAAATCTAATCTTTTCTGTTTAGCTTGGATCCAATGGGTTTCATTGATTCTGAGAACCATCAAGTAGTATCTCCTCATTTTCGAAGCTATTTGACTGGTTCTCTCAGTTTCCAAAATTGTCCGAACATTCCATGTACCTATATTAATTATTGCTCTGGTTGTTGGAAGGGGTGTCGGCCACGTGATTTCCTAAGAATCTCACCTTTCATCTTGGGGCATCATATTTCTCGATGAAGGTCCTTCGACACGAAGGGTAGAGTTTAAATAGTCTAATTTGTTTATTCTGGTTAGCGTTTTTTAGCAAGATTGTTTTCAACGGGATGGGGTTACTGACCCTATGTCCAACCCTCCTCCTTTACCCGGGCTTAAGACCGGTAGTCTGTTTGTGTAGCTTAGACGTTTGTTGGAACATGTTACGATTTCATAAGAAAACTCCATTACAATCTACACATCCTAGTCTGCGGACATAATTTCGTGTCGAAGTGATGGGAATTTTATCATTTATTTGAACTAAAGCGTTTTGAGGAGTTTTCGTTATTTTATAGAATGCTTTAGCCCTGTGCGATCTGATGATTCACTGTAGTTCTTCTCTTGTGGTTTAGATGTAATATTTTCAGAAAATTTTGCTAGTGTCAGTCGAAAAGAATATTTTTTTAAAATTGTCATTTTAAAACTCATAAAATACACATGTAAAATTGGAAATGGCAACTTGGAATTAATACATTTAAGTGGATCAATCTGGAGAAAATCTCAAAAATCTTTTATAAATACCCACGAATATTACACAATATCATCGTTGATTGGAGTTGAAATAAACCTTTTTAGTTAGTATTGCATTCTCAATTATTGACCACTAGGTTAGAGAGTTATTCAGTGGTATTTCGTCGTATATTGCATCCGGTTTCCGCATTAAGTAGCACAGTTAAGATATAACACATTATCTCTAAGGTGAACAATTCACTTCAGTTAGAGATTCTATACTATATGCACTGTGAAACATTCAGCTCTCAGTGGTCATTCTGTCGAACTTAACTCGAAAAATTTAATTAGTATTTCATTCGCATGAAGTTTCTATGGTTATGTATAAGTCGTTCGATCCTTCTAGTCGAATAGATTAGTTCTTATATTGGAGGTACCGTCCAGTTCGTCATCACTTTCAACCCCAATCAACATTATGTAGATCAAAACACTAAGACATAAATATCTTCACATATTACTGGTAAACGCTCAAAGCCAATAGACTAAAGGACAAAGGTAAACTCACTTTCTCATCAACAAATGCTTTACAAGCCATCACAAAAATGTAATGAAGAAATGATGGCATAGGTATATTAATTGAGGTTTTCTACATAAACACAAGAAAATGAGAATAATATGAGTGAATTATTTAACTTATCAGGTATAAATTTATGCATTCATATTGTTTGGTCGAGAACTAATGATACTCTGCGATTTTCTAAACGGTGGACAGAGTGAAGCTTACATCTATCAACAAGTAGTTGATAGACAAATGTTTTAACTACCATTTGAAACGGATCATTTATGTACTTTTGTGAGACATATCAAGTACCATACTTACAACTCAAACAATGAGATTTGAAGTCTAATATACAAACATGTACTTAGTCATTAAGTTCGACTGAATTCATAGTTTTCAGAAAAAGAAATCAACGAAATTAAACTTCACCAATTCAGATATTAAGATATTACACTGATTACATCGAAAACATTGTATTATATAAGCCTAAAACAATGATGGAGTACGGTATAAATATAAAACTGATCTCCAAAAGCTTGTATTAATATCTGAAATTACGTACTCTCAGTTGGTGTAGCCAAATGAAATATTAACAACGTTCAGTTGATCCTTTTATCTTGTTAGTTCAATTGACAGGATTTTGTTGCATCGTCTGAACTGCGAATTAAATATTATGTCAGTCATACTCAAATTAAAACGTGACACTTATGTGTATCGGTTCAAGTTGCCACATCATATTAACACAGAGATAAAATTATTACACATCCCAAAGATGTAGTAGTAGTAGTACTAATAGTAGTAAAGAGATTGCAGAACTCAGATTTCAAGGGAAGGGAAACAGTAGATACATCTATAACATTGCGGATGATTTTGAGTCATGTTCCCTAAAATATCTAACCATTGATTGCGACGCCAACCAGATAGTCCTGGCTTAGTTCAACTGTTAGAGACTTCACGGACTGGTGTCTTGTCACGGTTTGGCCAACCCTAGCTTTCTTTGAGTCTACTCCCACACCAGACGACATCGCCCGTCGAGGTTGACGGTGGTTAGTCAATTGTAACACGTGCCCCAACCATTTCAGTTGATGAAAATTCACTACCTCATAAATCGACATCATGTTTACGTAATACCCTATGTCTAATATCGAAATCCCTTACTCGGTGATCCCGAAATATACGAACAATGTTTCGAAAACACCTATGATCCAATATTTGTAACATACGAATATTCTCTATTCTTAATGGCCATGCAACACACCTATGAGGTAGAACGGAGTGAACTGCTGTGCTTTTAGAATCTGTGCCGAGACTTCGTCGGAAACTAATCCAGTAGAGTTGATGAGGATCCTAAGATAAGCGAGGCGGTTGACATGCTCAACCACTTCATTCCTTATCATTAAATTCAGACATTGACGTACACAAATCCTGAAGCAAAATTTTGCATTTAGTGGGAGAAAATCACATTACAAACATGCTCACATTGTTACTTTATGCGGTTATGAAATTCTGTATTTTTTCGGCGCCTTCAATAGACAGGAAGGATCATATAACTTGCGTAATCTGGGTCGTCAAGTGGATCTCCTGATAAGAAATTAGCCCCTCAAAAATTAAACGACGGCAGCGTATTTTCCAAAAAAAACTCCTAGTATCGAAATAAAAATCCTGAGAAACGTCACTTGAGGTTACAAATTTTGATGACAGTTCGTCATAAGCTCTGGCTCTATCTATGGCATTCGAGGAGAACCTTCCCAATAGTTAATGTACTTCTTTGTTACCCTCTTTAATGACAAATAGTGTCACAAAAACTCTCAGTTAACTCAGTCGAATCCCGACCGTTGCTGCTGCCTTGAAGTGGTGGTAGAGGTTGCCTATCTTGATGAACCAATCGTTCATGAAAGTCCTACCATGCCAGATAGATCAGTTGAAGAGCGGTAAGACTAAAAGCAGTTAACCCAAGGTCCGAGGGAGAAGTAGTATTGCTTACTGCATAGAGATGTGACAACGGTAAGGTGTTCCCTTCAGAAAACCAGAATAACAGCGTTGCTACCTTTCCACAAGGAAGGTTGAGGTTAGAAAAGATCAACGCTAAAATGCACACCTCGCCCTATCCCACGAATATCCGTCTCCGGTAGTAAGGTCCCAACAAGTACGGAGCTTGTTATACCCTACTGAAGATTAAAGCACGGGTAACTTCTGAGATCTACTAATGGACTAATATTATATATATATATATATATATATATATATATATATATATATATATATCACTATTGTATAACTGTTCAGTAACTAGATTATGTATATCTATATTCCTCTTATTATAAGCCTTTTGATTTATAATTTGTTATTATACGACTTACTGTTCCTAAATTATGTTCAGTTTATTAATTACCGTCCCCTATGTTCGCAGCCACTTTTTGGCTTGATCTTGTATAAATGTTATTTCCTATTTTATGGTGTGATGCGATGTTTGACTGGTATATAAACCAAGTATTTTTGAAATAAATGATTTGCATAGTGGAAGCTGTTATCGGTGTTCTAGACTCAACTGGACGGGCTAGGCGAACAAAGGACCAATAAGGACGCTAGGCTGCTCATTGGTTTTGGACAGTACTAAGATTGAATAAGTCGTATTTTGATTGGCGAATAAATCATGTGATAACTAGCGGCCATAAAATACACAACAGAGCTGACATGAAAACTACTTACAAAAAGGTCGTGTGTGATCAACCTCAAGTAGTTGTCCCTTGGGCGCTGCGGTCAAGCTCTTAGGTCACTACGACCACCCCTAACCTGATTTCCTCTTGAGGTACCTCCAGAAGAACCCTTCCACGGTGTGGGTAACCGGGAAGTGATAACTGCCTTCATACCTCTAAGAGTACTCAAGATCATTGTATTCATAACCAATCCCCCTCTTCAATTCCTACGTCGACTTTCAACTCTAAACTTGCTCTCTTGACTTCCTCTTTAAATATCACCATGGACAACGATTCTAGTGAGCAAAACACTGTCCCAGGTCTACTGAAACCCCGCTCCAAACTACACATTGGAGCCTTCAACGTACGCACCCTATGTCAAATCGGTCAACAGAATTTCATGGCAAGAACCCTAGAATCTCGTACCATTGATGTATGCTGTGTCTCTGAAACACGCATACAGGATCCCAGTGTGGTCATTCACCTGACCTCACCTCGGCAAAACAAAGAGCCAACGAGATACACCCTCCGTGTATCTGGTGACAGGACGGTCAGCTCTCGTGGATTGGCAGTTGTAAGGATAGCATTAAGCATGAGGACGGAACAATCACTGTTAGAGTGGATCCCCGTTAACATTCGTTTATGTGCTGTTCGGCTAAACGGCTCCGTAAGAACTCGGAAGGATAGGGACACACGTCGTTGCCTTTTTGTCGTTTCTGCCTACGCTCCCACCGACTGCAGCTCAGATGAAGTGAAAGATGGATTTTACAGAAAGCTATCTGAACTTCTTCAAAAAGCTAAACGTTCAGACATAGTACTCGTAGCAGGTGACTTTAATGCCCAGATAGGTAGTTTAAACCAAACAGAAAGGCATTTAGGTATTCCGGCTCAGTGAACAGATAATGGTGATCGTCTGCTGCAACTGTGCACCGACAATCGTTTATTTTTAACAAGCACTAGTTTAAAGCGTGAGGAGAGACGTCGTCTAACATGGCGACCCCCTGCACCATACCAACGATGGACTCAAATAGACCATATTTCCATCAGTCATCGTTGAAGTGGGTCGATTGTCGCTCATTCTAGAATACCTGCTTGGACTCCGACTATGCTCTAATACAAACACGCATCTGTTTGCGCCTCACTGGACGCAAAAAAGCAGGTGGTCCAGATGGATTGACTCCAGAGGTCTTTAAGGATGGTGATCCAGTTTTAGCGATTAAGTTGACTAATATGTTAGCTAAAATCTGGTAGTTGGACGTTATCCCATCTGGCTAGTCACAATCACTGATTCTCCCAACATATAAGAAAGGGTCAAAATCATCCTTTGATAACCACAGAGGGATTAGTTTGACTAACATAGCATCTAAAATATTAGCCTCAATAATCATCGGGCGTCTAACAAAGACTTGTGGACTGCAAACACGAGAAAATCAGTATGGCTTCAGACCTGAACGTGGCTTCATCGACAAATTCATCATTCGTCGTATTTTAGAACACAGGTAGGTTTATCGGCGTCCGACAATGGCGGTCTTCCTTGACTTAAAATTAGCATTTGACTCTGTAGACTGTGAGGCAGTCTGTCATTGAAAGGTGTAACTCAGAAGTACATAAACCTTGTGAAGGCTTTTTACTCGAATACTACCCGTCGAGTCAGAGCTTATAGCGAACTGTCATCTGATTTTGCAACCTCAAGTGATGTCCGTCAAGGATGTCCACCATCTCTACTTTTGTTCAATTTCATCATAGACATGCTGATGGAATTAACATTCTCGTCGAATGAATTTTCGGGCACTGACCACCTTCCTGGAGGTACACTTGTCGATTTAGAATACGCAAATGACATAGTCCTGTTTGATGAAAACGCTGATAAAATTCAGTCTTTCGGTAGTTCGTAGATTCTTGACAGTTTCATCATCAAATTGAGATATCTAAGAGGATATTTTGACATCCAGTAAAAAGGATAGAAATGAGTGCTATCATTGGGGCTTGGTCGGAGACCTAGAATGTATCTCAAAAAGACGGAACTCTTCAAGATGAGTGATGGCAGTGTAACCTATATAAATATTTGAGCATAATTGTAGAAGACGGTCATCGTTATCTGTTAGCTAGGAATGAAAGCTAAAAGACTCACATAAGTGTTTCTCAACATAACTAAGCCTATCAACTAAGGGAGTTAAGACACCTGCAACGATTATTGTTTCTGAGGGCCCTGATTTCTGAAGGAGATCAGAACGCCTCCTGCAAAACTCATTTTTATTGTGATTAGTAGAGGGCATTTCCACAAACGACAAAGAAATAACAATATGTTTCTATATCTCATCAACTTCTCATTGTACCACTTAATTGCACAATACATGAGAAACTATCAGTATGAATACGGGCAAAATGTCCCTGTTCCTATCATGTCTCTAGAAGCATGAAGTGTAGATTGCATTGGCTCACCATACTATCTAGTTTAGATCAAGCTAACGAACCCACTGGGATACTGTATGCATATTTCAGAGACAGCACACATTAATGGTACAATATTCTACGGTCATAGTTAGTGGTGAAGCCTGTTGTCCGACTTGACACAGGGTTTGAACATGCAATAATCCGACGTGTAGTTTAGAGAGTCGTTTCAAAGGACCTACAGTAGCTTTCAGTCAGTAGGACTATTTAGTATTAGAGGCTCATGAAGAAAAAATAAATATTAAGAAGTCTCAGAGTGATCTCAGTGTCAACAAGGTAATCTCGTGTGTTGTTACAGATATGAGAGCGGTTGTTACTTTTCTGTTCTCCATATCGTGGAAGGATATTTCTCCTCAAAATGCCTAAGGAGAAAACTGGATCCTTACGACTTGAGAGTGTGACTGCAGAACATAAGGGACAACTGACTCAAGCCAATCACACACGAACATTTAATAAACAGTTGTAGATACTTTAACATACTTTTCAGATTTTAACACCGGTGATGAAAATCTGTGGGACAAGGTGAAATCTGTTGTTTCCAGAGCCTCATTACTATCATACCCCTATACAGTCAGTAGTACGGCTTCACTCTCAGACTTCAAGTTGCTACTCCTAATTTTAACGTCCTCCAACTAACCTGAAAGAGATGATAAGACCTAAAGGAACAAGTGGTCCAGCCAATGTAACCAGATTAAGTCATCACGATATGCAAGTGCGACCACGTCCATAAAAGGCAAAGGTTGAATACATCTATATCATTGAGATCGATCATGACTTTTGTAATTCGACATTCACAATCAATGGGAACGATAGTAGAGCGGACCTCAGTCAGACAGTTTGTACCTACCAATACTTTTCAGTCCGATGGTTTATAGACTCAAACCGTCTTGCTATGCCCCCCCAAACGTATTATTGTACTATACGACAGATTTAGGATTACTGTTAGCTAGTGTATGAAGCTAGCTTGGACTGGACCCACACAGATCACTAGCAACTAATTATACTCCAAATATAGAGTAATATAAGTGTTAAAATATATGGTACTATTACCTATTTTAAACTATATCAAATGGGCATAATATTTTACTCGACTGGTCTTAAATCAGAATGAGAATCGGACGTCAACAAAAATACACTCGAAAATCCAAAAAGCAAAAGTTAGTATAGCAAGAACGTTAAATTGTATACAAAATCTATATAAGAATCTTTTAGTACTTTCCCATTTCATTCATTAGCACTAACTGGCTGAAAATTTACCCAATCACGATCCTCTGGCTTCACTGATTTTGATATACGACTGATTTGAAGACTATGATGTACCTTAAATTGAAATTCGCAACTTATTTTCTTGATTAGTTACAATCAGATATTTATCACAGATTAGTTAGAGGCAGTAATAGCTAATCAGACATTTGCAAACAACGTGAGACTCACTGTAAACTCAAGAAGTGTTCCATGCACATCCCAAAATAAACTAGCAAAGTGATCACGGGATATGGGCCGTCCGTTTATCCGTATTCTTTCCTCAACGTTTATGAGGTGAGGAGAGCTATTTAAATAAAACACAAGTATACACATATAGGATTAGTTGACATAACACAGCCCTTTTGATCACTTGATGGCCCGTATGTGGTGACAGTTGACAAAAGAAGGTGAACAATTTAATATGACTTAATATTCTTGATTGATGTGGGGAGAAGTTAAGCATTCCTGTGAATAATGTTAGTTATAATTAGTATAGATAACTAAAATGAAGACATCGATTGGTTATTTAGTTTGAGTTTTATTAAGACTACTTTCCAATGTGATGCAAGTCAGCCAAAACGAACTTTATGAATCAGATTATACGGGTGGCTCCACGGAGATTCAATGGCTTTGAGGAGCTTTCGATTAATATCGTTATTACTTTTACTAAATTATTCACCAGAGTAATTCGAAAGAGCAGTTTTCTTGTTTTGTTAACTATTTAGCAACTTCTTTAATACACAGGAAATGCTCCAATATAACATAGAGAAGCTTATCAGATACTTGTTTTAAAGTTTATTCAGGCTCAAACATTAACAATCAGAGTAACTCGTGATGAGCGTCCAAATAAATACTCCATGAAAACCTAAAGTCACGCACTGAGATGACAAATGATGGCGGTGACTAAACAAGTAATTGTTGAAGTGAAGTTTGGAAAGACGATTAAAACGTTTCTCGAAGAAAACTACTTAAAACCAACACTTCTGGCGTCACTAAAAAATAGACTCTTCAATTGTTAAGGCTCCAACAGTTAAATATACTGGTTACTGCCTAAAATTCGCATTCTGATTATAATGACTACAAAAACAAAAGGTGAATGCATACACACACTAACCTTAAAAACCCAGTGCGAAATCCGGATTTCTGTAAGACGTTTTCAATCATTGAACAAACTGAACCTTTGCCTTTAGACCCTGTAACATGTATAACATGTAAGTCACGTAGTTGCTGATCCTGTTGTACAAATAACTTGAGCAAATTTTTGAACATACTTCAATTCCAACAGCAGAGCAATAAACAGCGGACAGCCCATACCTTTGTTCTTTTAAAAGCTTTGGATTTGACGGTGTTAAGTAATTCGACAGCTTAATAGACTTGTTAAGTTCATGTATGGCATCCTTGAAACACTTAGAACAGGAGTCAACTTACTTGATAAGAACGAATGAAACATGGGACCATTTTACGAAAAGTCATCTGAAAATAGTGGTCCCTTGGGTGAATTCATTAATAAACCTGAAAAATTACAAAGTTGAAAAGAAAAAAATTAAAGAACCGGATGCTGAAAGACAAACCCATACTTAAAATTATTACTCTTAGTAATTAAGCTAAGTGAGGCACTAAACATCCCATTTTTGAACTCGAAAAAGCATATTTAAGGCGTTAAACGAGACCGAGACTGTTATAATCTCTTTTCCTACGGTATGACCCAGCCATTCCTATTGCTTAATATTCTTGACACCAAATCACTCGACAAGTCCCCAAATCAGAACACGGTTGAACAGGAAGGAGATTATATTCCAAATAACAAGGTTAGATGGAAGTAAGAAGAAGCAACTAAGAAGCACAATAGAGAAAACGTTAGTATATTTATAGATTCTAGAGTATTCTCCAACTATCGACTAGTGTTGATTGGATAAGAATTAGCCAATCAGAGTGCAGCAAAGCAATCGTGCATTGAGCATGCTTTAATCCAGTTTATGTCCCGCTAACAGAGACCAACATTTATCACTTCAAGGGTTTTAACGTTAGTGTTTTTGCCGACTATGACCCATTATTTGTTATATGCAACTTTGACATAGTAATACGATCAAACAAACAAGACTGAAAGGTACACTTATTTCACGAAAATTAGCGACACACATTTCCAGCAAGTGATCTAACAGTTTAAAGTCACGTTCTAGGATCGTTTAGTCACAGTTCTGTTAAGTATGAAGGAGTCACTAAGCTATTAGAATCTCGTTACGCTTACTGCGATTCGGACAACCGGGTAATATTATTAGTCTTTATAAAAAATTGATAATTCATAGTATCTTGGTTACCTTGTTGATAACATAACCAGATCAGTGGTGTTACCCTTTGAAATCTGTTTGGATGAGATTTCGAGATTTATTCAGTTAGTAAACTACCTGTCGGGTTATTTTTGTCTTTTGAATAACACCAAATCATTTGTATTGTTATAAAAGTTACTATTACCTTCCTCACAGTTACATCTTTCCACCTTCGTAGGAATATGAGTTATCGCTCCTTTATGTTTTTGTTTAACTTACACTAGACACTAGTTCTTAGTTAATCACATACTTTATGCGCTAAATATCACATGTACTGTTTTTTCAAGACCTGTATATTGAAAAAAGTACATTTGAGACGTTAAACGTGACATTCGGTCTGAAACCTCAAGAACTAAGTAAAATAGGCACATAACTTTTCTGTTAATCCATGAAAGAAAAATGTAATGTGCCATAAAGTGAAGATATTTTTGAACAAAAATTAAGCTACCTTCGTATGCACAAATTACGAATGTTATTTTTTGTTTAAGAGCAATTACTTAAATACTTTTTTGATAATCAAGTTAAGCACAAAATATAGAACACAACTATAAGAACAAGGTATCTCACAAAACATCGGATTACTCTCAATATTCATAAACAAAAGCATTAAATTGATCGTATTAAGAATTTTGTAAGATAACAATGTGGCTATAAGTACTGTGACAATTAGAATAATGTATAGACAACGGTACGTAGATACAACAGAATTTATTTATTTATTTGAACACAAATATTGGTACAAAGGGGCACCAAACACATATGCGGCACAAGTCATTTGATTTGTGTATGGGCTGTGATACTGCCCGGGTGCTCAGATCGAAGAGGGCGGTTTTTCTAGGGGCCCACACCCAGATACAAGAGAAATGTTAGCCTCAAGAAATATAAAACTGTACACTAACGAACGGATTTTGTAAGCATTTGCGTTTTACAGTAAACGTAAGCAATTTATATTATCAGCGTGAACAACACGTTTTTTTCTATCGCATTAACGAAATGGCAGACCGAAGGTTTCATTTCACTTTCCCACATCCAACCAGTTTACTGTTTTGTATCATCTTTAATGATGCGTTTTGAATATCATTTGGGTGCTGAAAGACGTCGCTACAACTTATCTTTTGTCTAGTTTCAGTGAAGATGTAAGTAGGTATTTTGCTAAGTTCATATTTCGAAAGTGAATTTAAGGTTAAATGTACATGAATTTATATTTTCGACCTAACTTATTCCAACTTTGCTCGATAACGACAGCAGGAAACTTTAATTGCCATATTTAAGACGAGACGTGAATAGGGGTTGGTCATTTATTTGTAAATTACGTTCACTTTAATCAGAACTGACTTGATAATCTCGTGGGAGGAAACACGCTGTAGATTCCACTAGAGTAACAATACAATGTCTTTCTAACTTTGTATTAATAACTTAACCAATAAAATGTTTTGTAGAAAAAGGCACCATGATGAAAATTCAAATACAAGATAATTTAATTGTATAGCGTTTTATTATTTCGAACATATGAAAATGCTGATAAATACATCCGAATTTCCAAGAGAAACATGAATTGAGTTTAATTCAACAAACATTTACTGAGGTATAAACTAACCTAACAGAATACGGAGGGAATAATGGAGTATTAGGAATCTGTGAAAACCTAGTTTTGGCTTGTGAGGAAAAGGAGAATAAAACTGTGATGGTTATAGAGGATGAAAATAAAGCAAGGAACAAGTACATGGTACTCCAATGTCTCATTTTACCGAATTTTTTATAATTTTGATACATTATTTCCCTTTATTTATTAGTATATTAAACTCACTGATATTAAACAGGGACTGAACTAGTTATTCTAACCCTCAGGCGAATAAGAGCTACTTAATATCGAGTTTTCTGGGTGCAGTACTTGTAGTTTGCTTCTGTTATTACTTGATTTTAACACAGTCATAAAATTTTGCGAAGCCAGATAGTGTTATGTAAAGGAATCTGTGAAGCTAAATATTGCACAACTTTGAGTTTCTTAAGGGGTTGAATCCAAGTTACAAGTTTGGTTTAGCCCAACGAAATTGTTGACAGCATAAGGTGAAGTAGGCGGTTTGTTAACGACCACTTTAGTAAATAAGTAATCTGATAGTGATATACGAACTGAAGATGTATTTATGTTATGATGGTATGTCTTTTGTCGTAGAAAATCTATTTGAACAAGCTCACTGATCATTCGTTCCAACCAAAGTTTGGAACCTGTCAGGTTTTAGGGACACGAATGGGTGGTCGAATGACTTTCCCCAATGGTGAACACGATTCGAGAACTGATGTCACTTTTCGTAGTAGGTCCCAATCTATCCATCATCGTGGTAGAAGTTCATTTGAAAATCTGCCAGTGGATATGATAAAATGTTTCCCTTCTGAACCGACGTATATGATATACTTAGGTGTTACTAAAAAACTTATTTCATTATGGAAGGAGCTAGCTATTAAGCGACTTAATAGGATGGATCAATCTATTAGCGCATCAATAAATGCGGCACTAGACTTATGTAGGCAGCACACTGCATGCGACTTTCAACGCAAATGTCGCTCACTACATGAAGTTTCCGTATGGAAAGCAACTGAATGTCGGTTGTTCTTAGTGTACTTAGGACCTGTAGTTCTTCATAATAGGTTACCACTGTCAATGTACAGAAACTTCCACTCACTCTCCTTGCTAATGTATTTATTGTCGCACCCTAAGTTGCACACCACATTCGCAAACAGTGTTCGGGTTTATATTAATAACTTCTTATTAGGTTACGAAAAGTGTTACGGTACCGAACACTTAATCTACAATGTGCATAGTTTAAAGCACATTGCAGAGGACGTTATAGAACATGGCAGTTTAGAGTCGTTCTCTGCCTTTCCTTTAGAATCATACATGAGGAGAATTAGGCGTTCAGTACACTGCGGATTTACTGTGGCTAAACAAGCCGCACAGCGATATGCCGAAGAACTTTACTTTCAAACTATACTGATATAAGTAAAATGCTTAGAATGATCATGAAAGCGGTCAATGAACTGTGTACGAAGATTGATAAATTTATCGCTTCCAATGAACGCTTATCCATGGGTGTAAGCGACAGGCGTACAGAACAAACAGATACGAAAGCTATTGTTTTCCCATTGAGAACGCATCAAGAGTTGCGTTCATTAGACCCTACCGAAGCTGCTACCTGGACGCGGTGGTCGGGCTTGCCTATCGTGATGACCCAACCGAGCTATATTGGCAGGAACATATGTTCCTGTAGGTTCTACCATGCCAGGCAGGTCGATTAGTGAACGGTAAGACTAAAAGCAGCAACTCAAGGTCTGAGGGCGAAGTCGTACTGTTGACTGTAGAAAGGTGTGACAGCAGTAAGGTGTTTCCTTCGGACAACCAGCATCTGCAGCGATGCTGCCTTCCCACAAGGAGGGGTGGGGTTAGAAAAGGTCGACCCTAAAAATGTCACACTTCACCTTACCTCACGGATTTCCGTCTCCGGCGGTAAGGCGCTTTGAAGAACGGAGCTAACATGTCAAAAACTTTCCACAAAATGGCCGTGTGCGACCGGCCTCGAGCAGTTGTCCCTTGGGCTCTGCGGTCACCCTCCCAGGTCGTCAAGACCAACACTAATCCAATTTCCTTTTCAGGTTCCTCAAGAAATACCCTTCCACGATGTGGGCAGCCGGGAAGTGACATCAGCCCTCATACCCGTAACAGCACACGAGACCAAGTTGGTCACATTCAAACCTTTCCTACACCCCCTAATACCTCTCTTATCTCCATGACTAACCCTCCTCACGTCTCTTTATCACCTCGCACCGCTAGGGCAAACGATTAAAGTACGTGGAACGCTATTCCTGGTCTCCTGAAACCACGCTCTAAACTACACGTAGGAGCTTTTGACGTACGAACACTTTGCCAAATAGGACAGCAGGCTTCCTTAGCTAGGACTTTAGAATCCCGCGCCATCGATGTGTGCTGCGTCTCCGAAACGCGCATACAGGATCCGAGTAGCGTCATTCATTTGACCTCACCATGCCAAAATAAAGAACCGACTCGATTTACGCTTCGTGTATCTGGAAGCCCTGATTCTGCTTCCCGTGGCCTCGCCGGCGTAGGTATAGCATTGAGTCCTAGGGCAGAACTAGCTCTTTTAGAGTGAATCCCAGTAGACAGTCGTTTGT